CGGGGTCCGATGGTTGGTCCACACGGTCTCACACCCAATCTGTCCGATAGTGACCCCAAATCCACTCGAGTAGCACGTTTTCCAGCTTCCAGGGCCAAGAAATCAAGAAATGGCGTTTTTTGCCCCTGGATGGTATGCAACCGCCTCTGGAGGGCCCCTGCAAGTGGGGCCACCGGGGCTCCACTTCTTAAAAGTTACCTTAGGGATGATGTCTGCAAAGTGGCATCTCAGCATGAAAAAATGCAAGGTTGTTTCCGCTAACCCCCGTACTATTGTTGAAAAACAAATGCTTCGAAGGCAATACTCCCCGCGAGCAGAGATTTTGCGCTCGGGACAAAAGTATACTCGGGACATTGAATTTTTAAGCAAAATACCCGAGGGCGAAAAAGGTGGGGACGAATTGTCAAAGGGACGAAAAAATAGGGGACGATTTGCCATGGATCCCAATACGCCCAGTGTTATGGGGACAAATCAGATGTCAATATTAGATAAGTCCGGTTGTAATTCTTCAGACAGGCGTAAGTCCAAAAAGAGGATTGTCCAAAGAGGCATATGTCCGGATGTGATTTGTCAGAATGACATATGTCCATAGATCCAGAGGACTTACGCCATTCTGACAAATCACAACCGGGACATATGCCCTTTTCAAAAATCATGTTTGTGGACATACGCCAGTCTGTCAAATCACACTCGGACTTATACCACTCTGAGAAATCACCACTGGACATGCTCCTTTTTGTCAAATCAGGTGGCATTGACTTCACAGCGTCAAATGCTGGCAATGCATTGTTAATGCTTATTCAACTCTGCTTCATTTTGGACTTGCATTACCCACCAGGCTTATCAAAAACATTTGAGTTTCTTGAGAGGTAAGATAACTGCAATTCTAAGATTGGCATGAGTACTATAAATTACTTATTATGAAACATAAGAAGCTGCTCATGATAATTTTTATGTGTACAGAATTATTCTGGAAATGACTACTCAAGAAACTAGGGTAAGAAACAAAAAGGGCAAAGTCCTTCTGGTCCTTACAGACGCAGTAAAGAACGCAGGGAAAGGCTATATTGATTTTGTGGAGATGATGGCTGTGGTCTGTCAGTCATCATATCCATACTTGACAGGCTTCTTTATAGGTCGCCCAGACCTTCTTGATCGTGTTCCTGGATTGACAGTAGGCTCAGCTTCTTCACCGGGATTCGGACAACACAGGTTTCCTCCTGGGAGTACAATCCTCGAGCTCCGTCCCGTGTTCACCTTCGTTGTTTTCTGTGGGCACAGGAATTTCAAGGTTAGTTTCTGGCAGTGTTACAGTTTCATTCACCCTTGAGGCTATGAGGTCCTCAATGTCCACTGCTGTTGTCCTGTCAAGATAATCAGGTTCCGTTCTGGATGGTTTAAGGTGAAACGTATTTCTGCGCAGGAGACTTCCACCAGAAGTTCGGACTATGTAACTCCTTGGAGCAGCATGTTTCCTGAGTATTTTACCCTTACACCATTTATTGTTTCGGAAGATAGATACCTTATCACCAGGTTGGTACTCGACTACTTTAACCTTGGCATGAGAGTCATGGTACATCTTTACTGTGTCCTGTTTCCTTTTGAGTTGCGCCCTAACATCTATTATTTTGGGTTCCAGGTTACGCTGCAACACAGGCACTGATGTACGACATGTCCTACTCATGAGAACTTGAGATGGCGAAACATTCATACCTGACAAAGGAGTGTTGTTATACTCCAGCAGTGCGTCAAGATAATGAATTTTAGCCTCTCCACTTTTAGTCATCAACTGTTTAGCAATGTGGACTCCTTTCTCAGCTAGTCCATTGCTCCTTGGGTATTCTGGAGAGCTGGTAACTATTTTGCTGCCTATCCCCCTGGCATACTCATGACACTCTTTTGAATTTAGAGGGTTATTGTCCCCAAATATTAT